GACTCTCCCCGCTAGGCTGCGCCGCCACCGCCATCGCCGCTCACCCGGACGCGCAGGAACCTGTCGCTGGACTCAGCCTCTGCCACTGTCCCTTCTGAGGAATGGTTTTTGGAAGATACTTAATTAGATGCCAGAATACTCAGTGGGATATCCCAGCACACTTGGGAGACTGAGCCAGGGAGACAGGGTGCACTTCTTCCAGGGCTCAGATTTTGCCCTCTTCTAAGCCCAGTGCCCAAGATATGCTGACCTTCCCCCCATGTCCTCCAGCCTGTCTCTCTGATACTTGTACAGTAAGGGTGCTCTCTCCTGGAGTAGAGATTTTACATAACTTATAGTTGGGTCTTGCTTTTTTTTTTATCCAGTCTGATAATCTGTACCTTTTACCTGAAGTATCTTATCCATGTGCATTTTGTAATTATGGATATGGTTAGGTCCTGAAGTCTGTTTTAAGGCAGAAAATGTCAGAGTAATAATCAGAAATGGGAAGTGTCAGATGCGTGGTGGAAGTGCAGAGAGATGTGTTATTAACTCTAAGTAGACTTTGATAAGTTACAGTGTATATTTTTAGCCCAACTGCTTAGAAAATAATAAGAAGAGTAGAGCTAAAAAGCCAATGGAGGAAATGAAATTGAATATTAAAAAATATTGATCAGCCCAAAAGAATGCAGGAAAAGTATAACACAGTAAAACAAAACAAAATAAAAACAGAAATCCAAAAAGAAAACAAATACAAAACAGTAGACTTCAATCCAAGCATATCAATAATTACATTAAATGTAAATGGACCAAACGCACCAATTTAAAGGCAAAGATTATCAGACTGGATTAAAAAAATAAACAATACCCAACTATAAGATGTCTAAAAGAGGCACACTTTAAATTTTAAGGCACAGTTAGATAAAATGTAAAAGAACAGGAAAAGGTATAGTATGCAAACAATAAGCATAAGAAAACTGGCTTGACTATATTAATATTAGACAAAGTCAAGGAGTATTACCAGAGATAAAGAGGGACACTTTCTAATGATAAAAGGAGCAATTTAGTGGAAAGACATACAATTCTAAGTGTGTTTGCACCTGATAGCAGAGATTTGAAATACATGAACTTAACACTGAAAGAACTAAAGAGGAAAATAGATAAACACAGTTGGAGATTTTAGCACCACTCTCACTAATGATAGAACAGCTATACAGAATGTCAATAAAGACATAGAGTTCTGAACAATCCTTCCAACCACATTAACTTAATCAACATTTATTAAACACCGCACCTAATAACTGCAGAGTACAATTCTTTTCAAATGGACATGGAACATTCACCAAGATAGACCATATACTAGGCTATAAAATAAGTCTCAATATATTTCAAGAGGTTGAAATTATACAAAGTATGTTCTCTGACTACTACCAAATTAAGTTAGACATCCATAACAAAAAGATACCTAAAAAATCCCCAAGTATGTGTAAATTAAGCAACATACTTCTAAATAGCCCATGGTTCAAAGAAGAAAATATTTCAAACTTAATGGCAATGAAAACACAACATATACAAATTCGTGGGATCTAGTTAAAGTACTTAGAGGGAAATTTATAACCTTAAATACCTATGTTAGAAAAAAGAAAGGTTTAAAATTTTAAATCTGAATTTCTGTCTTAAGAAGCTAAAAAGAAAGTAAAAATTAAACCCAAGGTAAATAGAAGTAAAGAAATAATAAAAAATAAGACATACAAATAATAGGGAATATCTTAAAAGCCAAAATTTGGTCGTAGAAAAGATGAACAAAATTTATAATCCCTTAGCGAGACTAATCAAGAAAAAAATTAGAGAAAACACAAACAACTAATATCAGGAATGAAAGAGGTGATATGACTACAGATTCTGTAGACATTAAAATTGAGAATATGGGAATACTATGAACAACTTTAAGCTAATACATTTGATAATGTAGGTTATATGGAAACATTTCTTTAAAAATATAACTTACACTCAAGAAGAAATTTAAAAGCTGAATAG